TAACAAGAAGATAAAGAAAACCTCCAAGAGGAGAGCTCCAAAGTTTAAAGTAATTGAGTTTAAATTTGAAGGTGAAACTTTTCAGTGGAGTGCTTCCAACAACGGAGTAAGTCTCACTTTTCATCTATTGTTCACTCAAAATAGTACTGCCATTACTAATTCTACTTGTTTCTTCCAGGTTGCTAATGTTAAACTGTGGGAAGACAATAAAGCATACGTACCAGAGAAGTTGAAAAACAAAGCTAAGAACACGTGTGGTAACGTGTCTTTGCTAACAAGATTCTTGACAAGAGCAATGTTTACCACGAAGGCTCGTGAAATGTGCTGTCAGCGGAAAGCCTTCCATGACCAAGGGCCAGGATCTGGCTAAAGTTAGAACTAAGCTGAATCAGAAGGGTGTAGAAGCAATTACTGGTAAGTAATCTGCTAAATTGTCATCAATTTCAGTATTTATTTGATTAATTTCTTTGTTTCTTTATCTTTTTTTTCCAGCCTTTGTTGAGCACCGGGGATTGAAGAAAGGCTGGAGAGTTCCCCCTCCTGCCACCATCAAACAGTACATGGGAAATGTATTGTGTGAAGAGCGTGCTGAAGCCCGTCTTAAAGAAGAGGCTAAGAAAGAGGAAGCGGCTCAAGTAGGTCAGTCCCAAAGTTAGCCGACTCCTTCATGAATATGACTCTGATTTTGCTCTGGTCTGCTTGTCAAATGTTTGACCTTTTTTTAAAATTCAATTTCCCTTTCCTCTTTTTTTAGTCCAGCATAATTTGCTGCTTTTCTTCTTCTAAGCTAAATTTGCTTTGTTTCGTTTTGAAAATTATTTCTTATATCTTGCTGTGCTTCTCATGTCAAGTAAGTTTTTTTTTTTTTTGGTTCAGAGATTTTGAGCAGAAATGTTTATCTGTTCCAATTACTTAATTCCATCCCGTTTTTCTCAAAAAGAAATATTCTAGGAGTTTTTTTTATTTGTCGGTCAGGATATTTTTATTTGGTTCTTGTTTTTCAAGTTTTTAACGTGCGAACTCTTTTAACTGTGACAATTAGACACAACTTGTTCAACTTTATATGAAGTGTTTGATTTGTTTATGATATAACCCTTTGCATTTTATCTGTGTACCGGGTGTCCGGAGTGGCGGAGGAGTGGGGGGAGGGGGAGCTGCCACTCCTCCACCACCCGCCCCGCACCTGCCTGCAGCCCCTGCTGCCAGTGCATAGGCAACCCAACGTACTGGCATGTAAGAGCCGGGACACCCGGTACCACTGTTTGAGTGATTTCTGGGATGCACTTAACATACAAGTTGTATGTGTATGACTTTTACATAAACTCTGTATACAATCCCATACAAAGCCAGTATGCGACTTGTATACGGCTCGTGTACATCATTCAATTTAACTTCTGTGCAATTCATAAGCGCTCACAGGATATGTATTTGAAATTTATACACCATTTCTATCGAACTGCATACAATCCGCATGTACTTACAAGGCTAGTATACCACCAGTATGCAACCCGCATCTTATTTGTATGGGGCTCGTATAGAGGTTGCAAGTACATACATAAGGTGGCGGCCCTTACCCGGACGAGACCCGGACGGGACCCGGAGAGAGCCCGGATGAATCCGGACGAGGCCCGGACGAGGCCCGGATGACAACACCCGGATGAGACCCGGACGGCACTCGGACGGCACCCGGACGGCACCCGGTCGGCACCCGGTCGGCCCCCGGACG